AAATGAATAAAATTTTAGAGGTTTACTTTAAAAAAAAAAAAAACTTTTGTATTTTCATATTCAACTTCTCAGCTTCAAAGTAGCATCAGTGGCAAAAACAACTTTTACAAAAATTGGACCACAAAATGATTTCCTAAAAACAAATTAAAATCAAAAAGTCTCTAGCACTCTAACTACTCTCATGGTCGTCATCCTCCACCTCCTCGTCATCATCACCCTCGGCACCATCAGAGCTCCCAGCACTATCCTTAGGTGCCTCAGTTGGCAAGAAACCCGAGACATCAATGTCGGGGAAGGCAACAGAAATCTTTCCCAGAGCTCCTCATAATCATCAATGAAAGCATCTAGAACGTCATTCTCCAGTTCGCCTCAGTCCGAGAAGCTCTTTCTTGAGCAGCCTTCACCTCTGCCTCAAGGGCAGCCTCTCTGAGCATGGTCTTCTCGCGGGTCTTTGCAAGCTCAGCTTCACTGAGCGTGGCCCTCTCACAGACCTCCACAAGCTCAGTCTCGAGTGTAGCCACCCTCCCATGGGCCACCGAAAGCTCAGCCTCATTAAGCGTGACCCTCTCACGGACCTCCACAAGCTCAGTCTCAAGCGTGGCTGCCCTCCCATGGGCCGCCGAAAGCTTAGCTTCACTAAGCGTGGCCTCTCACAAACCTCAGCAAGCTCAGCCTCGAGTCTGGCAGTCCTTCCATGGATCGCCGAAAGCTCAGCCTCAAGTCCAGTTGCCCTCTTACGGGATGCCACAAGGTTAGCATCATAAATCCTGCTAACACCTTCAAGCTCGGCTATCCTCTCTTAAGCAACATGAAGATCATTTTGCACAACTTCATAATCATGCTTCAGCTTGTGATAAAGAAGGGTCCTTGAAAGTAAACACATAGATGCTGATGAAGCCTAGAGAAAAACAGAAGGCAAAAGATGGTCAGACACTTACGGAAGGGAGAAATGAGAGAAAATAAACTCTTACCTAAGCCTAGCCTTCTAGGAAAGAGCTAAGAATTCCCTCCGTACCCAAGGCTCCAATCTCATCCACATCCTTCTTGCACAAAAACAACCCAAGTCGATCCTTAACGAGCATTGCATTATCTAACATGAAGCAGATCTAAGAAGGTACTCCACCAGGGTTCCCCATAGGAGGAGTGGCTGAACGGGGGGCAAAAGGTGTGGCCAACAAACGAGACTCTATAGTGGAAGGTCCAATTGAGGGAGTCTTCGCCTGAGGAGGCACCTCTAGAAGAGCCACTTTATGGGAAGGTGCCCGAGGTGCCACTTGATGAGGTGGTTGAGAAGAGCACGCCTCTGGCAGCAAGGTCACTTGGGAGGCGTCGCGCGTCATCAACCTGGAAATCTTCTTCGCCACCTTGGAAGGAGGAAAACTCCTATTAGAGAGGCGAGACCCAAGCTTCTCCCTGTCTATAGCTATAAAGCAAATAAAGTGTTACCTAGATGGAAAACACCAAGTAAAAGAGAAAGCTGCAAAGGAACTAACTCACTTTTTCTCTTCGAAGAAGAGCCACACGACTTCGGGGTAACACCACCATCTTTGGACATAAGGACTCCAAAGTCTTTTTCAGGATAAGCTCTCACCGCCTCCAGCTTCCACTTTTGGCCTGGGGAGAGCATGGGGGATCTGCAAGAGGAATGATGAAAAAAAAAACAAGATAAAAGAGAGAAAGTAAGTGTGTGGCATACCAAGTTTTTTTTAGACACAAGCCATCCACTTGGTATTAAAGTCCTATCCGCCTCTGCAGCCCATTCTCCACCAACAAATAAAAAGCGAGATTTCCAACTATGACAGTTGGATCGCAATCCGATGAGCAGTTTGTCTTTCGTGGTAAAGTAATACCAACCCCGATTGGGAGTAGGGGTCTCGCTCAAGGTATAAGCTCTATGAAACTCTTCCGAAGAAGCATTCTCATGATGCACTTTCCTCTACAGCACCAGAAAACATAACAAAACCCTCCATCCATTGGGTGACAATCGCCCCAGGTTGAGGGAAAAGTACCCGAGAATGCTAAATATAGAATGAGACATGGGGAACCTAAGCCCAGCCTCTAACATCTCCTCATAGATGTCAATGTCACCAGAGGAGTCGTTAGAGGCAGGCTCACCCATCTCGGCTCGACGACACAACACAGTCGGAGGGATGTGGTAGGCGGAGACAACTCGCAAAATATCGGCGTCCGTATTTAAAGTGTTGGAGATAATACTTACTTTGGACCCATCGTCATCGAGGGTTACCTTGTCTCGATGCTTCTTGGTGTGAGGGTGTAAAGCTCTGCCCAAGCCGCTGCTAGAAAGGTCTCGAGGAATTCGATTTTGAGAAGTTACACTTGGAGGAGCTGGACTCCCACCACCAAAAGTGTTCATTGCACTCTGCTTTTCAGCCTCTTGCTCGCCCAAAGCTACTTCCTCTCCAAAACTTCTCAAGCTAGAGTCCAAAGGAGCATTTTATTGCCCACCTAATGGGTTGCCTCGCGCGCTTGCATCATTATCGGCGTCCATCCTAGGCGCCTCAATGCCCAAGACTCTACTCCAGACAGCCTGCTCGCCCGATTGAAGTGGCTCGCCCAGCTGGTCCCGCGCAACAGAGACACCAATTTTGTTGTTTGTATGCCCAGGCAGCTTGCACAAGCAGTTCGCGCACCCAGGCAGCTCGCCCAGGTTGTCCAAATCAGCGTCTATAGGCGCTTGCACAGCTCTCATCTCCCCAATCTGCTCGCCTAATGGGTTGGAGCGCCTAGGTTGCTCGCCCATTAGGCTGGAGCACCCAGGCTGCTCGCCTAGTAGGCTGGCACGCCCAAGTTGCTCGCCCAGTAGGCTGGAGCGCCTAGGCTGCTCGCCCAACAGGCTGGCACGCCCAGGCTGCTTGCCTAGCGGACTGCTCCCCCTTGTTCGCCTCTCCAAGTTTGCTCGCCCAGCCTCGCCAAAGTCATGCCCATCTCCTTGCTCGCCGAAACTAGCAAAATCAGCCCCAAAAGGGGCGCTTAGCACCTCCACATCAATGGAAGCTTGAATCTTTTCCTCTACCGACATTGGTGACTCAGAAACTCAAGAATAACAAGCCTTGGGTCTACAAAGATCTCAAGAAAAGTCATACCAATATGTTCTTGGAAGGTTTCAAGAAGAACTCCACCTCTACTTCTCTCAAGAAAAAATGAAATAGTAAGGATGAAATGGAGGCTCTCTATTTATAGCTAGGGTTTTCTTGGGTTACATCTTAAGTATTTACAAAAATACCCCTGTACCATACCACCCCCAACTAATCAGTGTCCCCGCAAGGCAGATGCCGTCGCAGGCTCCGCTTCGCTCCACTCCACTCCGCCTGCTCCGACATCTGCCTCCTTGCCATTGTACATACAACAAATACAAGGCACACATACTCTGACACTTGGATTTTAAAATCTTCTTGGAGCAGCAAAAAAAAAAAAAAGAGGAGAGAGCTTATTTAGTTAAGGGGGTCCTATAAGCAAAATGAGTCTACTAAAGGTGATGAGGTTGCCAACCAAGAGAAGTTTTTAGAAAATTTTAAAAGGTGTGTACGCTATTTTGACCGTAACTTTTGATCCGAAACTCCAAATGGGGCCCATAATATGTCAAACCGAACGCCCTCCTTTCTAAGTTCCTTAAACGCAGGGCATTGGGGGGCAAATGATGGGCCAGATCCAAGGACCCAACCCATATTATAAGTCCAACTTAAATTAATGATCCAATCCCAAGAGATCTAGCAAAGTCCAGCCCAAACGAGGTCCAAGTCAGACAAGCTCATCAGGGAGTTGCGCTACCAAGGGAACATCCTAGAACCTATCCCACGCGGCCTAGAGAGAGTCAACCTTTCCACATACCTTGACCAAGTCCTTTGGAGTGCATCATAATTTCCTTGCCGGTTGAGGAGAGGAGAGGTCGCCAAGGAGAGGAGAAGTCGCCAAGAGATTCAATTACTATTAAATGACCCCAATTATGACCGTCAGACTAGCTATTCAATTACTACGCACGAAACTATAAATTGTAAGCTCCTCCAACACTTGGGGGACATCTGAAAAATAGTCAAGCTCATCTCCTCTCTCTCTTGTAATCCTTGCTCTTCCTACACCCCTGAGTTAATAAAGTTCCCAGCGAACCTAGTCATTGAAAATGGACATAGATCTTGTTGACCGAACCACTATAAACCTTGTTTTCTCTTTCCCTCTATTTATTTTATTGCATTTTATACTATTACTTGACTAATAGTGTACAAACTAATTTGTGCATCATTAATTTTTCATTATTATTTTATCTAAATATTTCTACCTAAGAGTGACCCCGACAACCCAAATTATGAGGAATCAAAAATGATGTTGTATTCTGTTCCAAAATACACAATGAAAATTGATTCTCCATCCTCAATACATTAATACAGTAGAAATTTGCAGAATAGAAGGACACAATTTTTTGTTTAGTAACAAGTGTTCTCAAGCGATTATCAACCGCATTAATAGCTGGTTGTGGCATTTCTTTGCAACAATAGTAGGCTAATACCAGATGGGAGGCATAAACACACATTTGTAATTTGTTTCTCAGAGTTAAGTAAAACAAAAAGCTTAGTGCCATTCTTCATAAACTCCCACCATAGAAGAAATTAGAGATCAAATCCAAGTTATATATAATTTGTACTTTCGCTACAAAAAAAAAGGTTTGAGATAGTTTAATATTAAAAACAAGTCTCGTCTTATATTTGCTGAATGTACGATCAACAACACACTTTACATAATTAGAATTGTAATACATAATTAGATATGATATACTGTGGCCGACAATTTAATGAAAATCGCAAGGAATGTTATGATTGGGGGCATATTACAATTAATTAATTTAATTGAGGATAGAATTTAAAATAATTGATCTTTTGAGGGTACAAATTAATTTTTTTTAATCTGTCAGGTGCAAACTGCTATTTGCCCTTAGTAAAATAGCAAGGTAAAGCACTTTCCTCTTTCTTCAAGTTCTGTGAAACCCTAGACCAGAGACTTTGGCCGAAAGCTCAGCAATGGAATCCGAAAGGCTAAGCATATACAGAGCATCAAGAACAATAAAACGCAGAGACAACTCTCTATACAACGCTTTACGATCGATTTACGAGGACTCTATTTTCGTGGGAGAGATTTCTCAGCTATGGCCCGAACTGCCACTACTCGCCAACCTCCGTTGTGGCCTCTGGTACGCTCCAAAGTTCCATTCAACCTGTTATTTCAAATCCACCGACGGTCACACTAACAATTGGTCCTTCAGTACTGCTCGTCTCAACCTCCATGTGGCCCTCCTCGCCGGTAAAGCCCCCTCTCTGTACATTGTGTGGGTGAATAATGAAGACATTGTTTGTGATTGTGAACTTTTTTTTTTTTTTTGGGTAAATAAACGAATTTTATTAATAGGAAGAATTAGTGTAACAAAAGCAAGGGGAAAACACAAGAAACCCTTGGAGTACAACAACTAGGGCGGAGCCAGCAGCATACCTAGAAACTTTAATTTTTCCTCCGCAATGAATTAAAATAAAACGACATATTTAAATTTATTGTATTATATTAGATATTTGAATATTTTTTAAATACAAAAGGGTCAAACGAGAATGTACATAGCATATATATCACAAAAAATTAAATAAAAAGAGATTAATTAGAACCCTTGACAAAAAATGAGGCTAATTGCATGCTTTCTTACTTTATTGGTAATTTCATTATCAATAACATTAGAATAAATTTTTTCCTATATATACAATCAAGCTATAATTGATTCATTATTGATCACTTATTTAGTTATGTAACCAAGTTTTCACAATTTTCATTGCTTAAATAATTACAAAATGAGTCATATCAACAACTTATGTAAATATGTTTGTAACGTATTCAAAGTGTACATGAAAATTTATGGTCAAACTAATTGATATGATGAGAAAATAATAGGGTGAACACATTTAAATATATCTAACAATTAACCAAATATATATATAGATAATGTATTTTTTTTTTAAATCAGGATGGGCCTGTGCCCCCTGGTTCCCTCTTGGCTCTGCTGTTGTCAACAACATAAACTGAAATCTAGCAAACTAGTTTGTAACAAAGCACATTGTCTTTACAAGCATTTCCAGACCAAATCCAGTTTGGCACCCCTCAACATTTCAAACAAAACAGGCCAATCTGTTCTCTCTTTCATATGCTCCATATAGTAGCAATATGGATGTTGATAGAAGAATCAGAAGCTTTAATGGACATTAATCTCCATCTAACAGTTTCTTTTATTATAGACACTACAACAACAAATTCTTTAGATTTGCTGTAAAATTTCCTTGAATTCCTTTCCTGCCATATATAGTATACTGAAATAGAGAAGCATAATTTGGCAATATAATTTTTCAGAGCATTTTCTTTCCATATATCTGCAGCTCAAGAATCCCAAGTGGTGAACTGCAGAGTAGAACCACATTTGTTTATACTCATATTCTAGATATTATAAGAGAAAGAGCACTGAAAGAATAGATGATCATGGTCTTCAACAACATTATTGCTTAGACAACAGTCAGGATTTACATTTTGATTGTAAACTTGGATTCTGTCCATTGTATTCAATGTTTTCTTGATTGCCAAGCCAACCACAAAATAAAGCTCCATTGAGGAACAGAATTTCTAAACCAAACCAACTGCTTCCAATCAACAATAGGAACATGTACTCTAAATGTATCCCATACAGAAGTTATTGAGTAAATCCATCTGGATTAGGGATCCATAACACTACATCTCTTCTATGACTGCAAGGACTGTAATTATGCTGGGAATTTTTAATATCCACCTAATTTTTGATATCACAACATTCAGGATTGTGAGCTAGTTAGTAGTACTTGTTTGTTGGTATATGCCTTTCTCTTAAAACATGCACACACACACAAAAGTCAGAATTGTACTTGTAAAAATATTGAATGGGCACTGCTGTAAATGGATTGGAATTTGTTAACTTGTAGTTTCAATTTAGTGTTGGTGATGATATTGGGAGTTTCTCTTTTTTGTTTGATTTTTTATGGGTAGGACAGAGGGGAGGGTGTATGATTGTTGATTCAACTCGGAAAGGGAAGCAGTTTCCAGACAGTATGTCGAAGACAATATCCATTTGGACGTGTGTATTGAATCGGGCAATTTTGAATTATAGGAGCAGAGTGGGCAAGCCAAATATGCCAATGGAGCGAGTAAGTAGCCATAATGGATTATTCAATCTTTAGCATAAATGTTGAAAATTGTATCCAGTTCAATGATAGGATTGAAGGTTCTATGATTTCCTTTTGATTGCTGCCATTATTCTGTACTCGGGCGTTATGTGTATGATTTTAGCTTTAGGGGGTATGTCAATTTTTGTCTGATCAATCAACAATACTTTCCGGAAAATCTATCTGCGAGCCTTTAAGTCAAAGACTTTATAGCCAAAACATGCAATTCAATGGTGTGTTTGATGCATTTGTTGTGGGAAGGAAGTCAGATTTGGGAGGCTATTTTTGATTGGTTTTTAGTTTTATTCTGTAGAAGTAATCCAAGGTTAGGCAATGCATGGTTATGCAAAAGTAAAAAATGAATATTTTGTCAAATTTGTGTGGAAATGGATTCCGTGATACTTGACTTATTGTGCATCCAGATGGCAGTGTAAAAAGGAAGACTGGCCTATATATAGTAGCATTTTGAGTGGTTTGTGCCATTTTGATTGGATTGTTCTTATCCAAATGCTTTATTGAGTGAAGAAATCTGTTTTGTAAGCTTAACCTAATGTGTGGAGAGACTCTTCCTCATGAATGTATCATATATCTTAGCTTGGGAATCATATGAATTTACTAAGTGATTGCATCCGTTACGGAATGGTTTGGTTTGTTTAACTGTCGCCAGGCAATCTGTAATGGTCAACATTTCAAAGTAAATAATTTGAGGCAAACAATTATGCAGTTGTTTTACGGAAATTCTGTATAAAAATATTTGGTGCAATTATCTTTTGTTAAAGTTAAACTGTTGTAATTTGTCAAGAAGGAATATCACTATCAATTATTATTGTTCAGCTGGTGTACTGCATTTCAAGGGAAAAAACTCCAGTTATTCAAATTGCTGGAGTAAGTGAAACATGTTATGTATGGGCTCTTGTGAAACTTGTTTATGTAATTGTTGAACATGTGGTTTGACATGATTTTTTTCAGACAGTGGGATGCTTTCACTTTTTTATGTGGTAGAGATAGAGACCAGACAGATTCTGTAACAAGTTAATAATATCTCTTCTCCTAAGCATACTTATGCTTGTCTTCATCTAGTGCATGTGCTTTTTTATAGGAGTCAGATGCTTGTGATCAACATGCTGAAAGTACTGGACTTGTCTCTCCTAGTTGGGACTGCTCCTTGCATCTTCCCCTTTGGGTTTCCAATGCAGAGAAAGCAGCTATTGAAGATCGCTTGGAAGGATGGATCAAGCAATTAGAAGCCAGTGGAGGTGATGTTGCATGCATTGCATCAGCTTTGAAAAAGCCGTTACGCCCTCTATGGGTCTCACAGAAATCCGTCATCTGGTTAAATGAAGTACCTGGATATGACTCTTGGGATTTTACACCTATCATGCTTGTTTCTGCATCTTCCTCTTGTGGCATTTTGCAACAAAGGACTACCTCAGAGTTTAGCTGGACTTACATAGCAGGAGCTGGGGATGATGAAGAAAGTTGGGCCAGGGGTTTATCACCTAATCTTTTCTGGAGCCATGCGCATGAGCTTATAGACTCAGGTCCTGATTTATGTAACCAGAAGGTAGCTGATATTGTTGAAAAGGACAGAGTGTACCGTGCACAAAGGGGACAAAATGCTCCTCAGTTATCTGTCAAGCCTTCCAAGTTGTCTGGGAGCACTGATCATTTTCCTGCTGAGAATTCGCCGTTAGGATTGGGGATTTCAGGAGCTGAGAATGATAGGAAAGATTCCGTTGATCTTCATGCAATATCTTGGTTGGGTTCGACTAATCTTGCAGTTGGTGCAACTCAACATGGTATACTGATTAAATTACTCACTTTTAGTTGCTAGTAATACATAGTATTTAATTTGCAGTATAGTTTTTTATATTTTCCTTCATTTCCGGTCATGGCCTGGAAAATGCCCTATGTACAGTATTTTCATTGTTGCCTATACTCAATTAATTAATGTAGAATGAATTGCAAAATTACAAAAAAGAGAAAATCCGTGGTTACTTATTTCCTGTAGTTGGAATGTGGACAAACTTCATTAGTGCGAGGCAGTTGTATCCAGATGTCAGCATCTTGTCAGATTCATCATTGAAAGTAGTTATTTCTACAATTATTATTTTAGTCCAAGTATATTATTTTTTCCATAACATTTTGCTATTTCTGTTCTGTTAGATTATTTTTTCACCTTTGGCTACTTGAAGTAATTGAACAAGAGCTTTACAGCAGTGTGTGCACTATATTTTGGCTTCGGATATAGGTTATGGAATTTGTCTGATGTTTGAGTCCTCAACTTATTTAATTCCATCATCTGATTTATGGAATTGGAGGTTTAGTTACTGAGAAGGGTATATTGAATCCCATGGATGTGTTAAAGCTTGTTGTGATGTACCGGTGATGGTGCTAGAGCAGATGGTTGTGGTGGTGGCAACAGTTTTGTGGAAGAGGAATATGGGGTTTGGTGAAGTTTGGGGGCAATGGTGGTGGACGAATAGATCAGTAATGCTGCAGTTATGATGGAAGTGGAAGTAGGGTATGAGCATTGGAGTGGTGGCGTTGTTGTCAAGATGAGGTGCTTTCTGTGGGTGGTGTGGGGGAACATAAAGGCGCTGGTCCTCTCATTGAAGTCATGACCTGTTGGCAGTTGATTGGTAAGTGCTGAAGATTTGGTGGTGATGATGGTGGTGTTAGTAAGTTGTAACAATTGTACAGGGGTTGGGTTGGTATTGGCAATAATAACCTAATTCCTCCCAGATAGGAACTGTAATGTCTCGCCTTCACCTGTGTAATTCTAGAGAACTCCCTTTGTATCTTAACATAGTATGGTCCTACTGCATTTCCACTATAACATTTTGCATCCAACTCAATGATAGGTCATCCTGAGCTTTTGCATAGCATGCGTGGGCCTGATGACCAGTAATTCAAGTGTTTGTCCTGGTTGTGATCAACTCTTGTTGGGCTACTACTTATCTCTCTTTGGATTCCTATTTCAATTCTCACAAGTTTAAGCAGTAGATAATAATCCATTCCTTCCTCTTCGCTTCTGCTTGCCTCACTCCAGTCTGCTTTCTCTTCTCCAGCTGCAGATGCATCCGATGTTGATAGCGCATTGGTCTGTGAAAGGGAGTCATCCTCTCTCTGCCTTGAGTATCCTGAAGTTTATTTGCACCTGCCAATTCTGGTGTGTCTGACAAAATTGATGACAGGCTTTAGGATCTAATTATTTTATGTTAATAATTTCTTCTCAATTTCCTTTTGATAATTTTTTTTACCTGTTTTGTGGATTTTTCTGGACAGAACTCAAAACTGGACCGATTTTCTTTGTACAGAAATCTCCCTGCAGCACTGATTTTTGCAAAGTCAAACCTAAGAAAAGGAAATAGACTTCTAGTTTGCTGCAATGATGGTAAGTATAGGATGCTTGCATTGCAATTCCCTTTGTTAAGTTAGTGTTAAATTCATAATATTTTGCATCAATGTACAGGAACCTTGGGGAATACCCTTAGCAAAATACTAGAATGTTAGCATCACCTACAGTCAACCTCTGCAGATACCTTTACATTATAGAATGTCAATGAGTGATATCACCTACTTACGTCCTAGATAAACATTTTCTGACCTTCGTTCACTTCTTTTTGGATGTCATTATTTTTGCTATTCACATTTTTGGCTCTGTATGCATGCTTTTTTTTCCTAATGCCGTCATTCTAAACTCTGCGTTAACTTGTGCCTGCGAATCTGCTGTTAAATGTTGCACTAAGAAACGATAGATTTACTCTGTTTCAGGGGAAGACATTAGTGTATGCGTCTGTTTGGCTATCTTGACATCATTTTACACTAATGAAGGTATGCACTCTAATCTCATGCCAAGTTTAACATACGGTTTTCCCTCATTTTCAAGATAAAGCTTTGACTATAATATAAACAACAATTCATCGACATTCCTTCTTTCATTGGTTTTTTTTTCTACAGAAAGTTCCTTCTTTCGTTGGTTGAATGCACAGAATGATCATAGTCTCTATTTTGGAGTTTCGATGGTTCTCAATGTTTTTTAACATTTTACAGGATCTTTTGATGATGGGAAATCCTTCAGTGAGACATGTATCACTAAGCTGGAGATGCGACGACGACTGGTATTTATCTGTAAATTTGCAGTGAATGCCCGGCCATCAAGAGGAAATTTAAAACAAGTTTTTAATTTCCTGAAGGATCAAAGCGTTGGTTCCGGGTGCTGACAGCCATATTTATGTTTACGGGAACTATTGAAATTTGAAGTAATGTTAGTACTTGCAATACTGAGACTCCAGAATTTTGAGGAAATAAAGGAAGAAAACGAATAGCACTTCTAATCATTACATGTTGAAAGAATAGAAAATTTCTTTGTAAAATTTATCGTTTATTAGATAATTCATTTTCCTTTGGTAAAATCCAACATGAATGAAAGAAATAATGTTTTGCAAAATGCTCTTTTTAAAAAAAAAAATAATTTTGGATAAGAATTCTTAAATGTCTTGGTTGATTCAACAATTGGACTAATGGAGTAATCATTTTATTGGTCTAGGGTTTATCATTTGACCATTGATATGTTTTTTTGGGAGCAAATATGAGATAATAAAACATGGGAATCATATTGGTCATATTGGAATTGAAACCCAAAGTAAACTTGAGCATTTGTTATTTGCACCGTATTCACAATTTATTTACGTACTTTGAACAACTAAAACTTTGTCGGATACAAATTCTACAATTGTGGCGGCTATTGTAATTTGGATTTGTTATTTTAAGGTCAATCTATTAGGAATAAGTCTACACAGTTATGATTTTATTTAATTGAATTCAATAAAGACCCTTGCTAATATAGAGTATATCATATGTGAAAAAAAATTGTATGGACCGGCCAGAACTATGTGAATCAATAAGCTAGTTAATTCATATAGTTATCACAAAAACTAAGCATATTGGGTTGAAATTCATTTTTTTTTCTTCTTATTTTACTTGAGAGATGAAAAAACCATCTTTTTTTCATTATGCAACAACAATAGAAAATTCAGAGAGTCAACACACTGGCATTATAACAAAGAAAAAGAAGACAATATTCTTTTCTTTTCATTTTCCCATTAATATGGGACTTCAATAGAACAGTATCCTCCTAAGTCTTTAATGTGTTGACCAAACCAATTTAAAAAAATCAAGGCTTGACCTAGTATTCTAGCAGTAACAAACCAGTCAGCTTTGTACATTTCAATGATCATACCTGCTTCCCTCATCTCTGGAATCAAAAGCTGAGTTGGATTCTTGTGAAATATAATCGGCAGAGTGAATGAATGATCTACTTCCTTCTTCTATTGCCTCGGTAGCCGTTTCCTCTTTGGTTTTAGATCAACAACAATAATAGAAATGTTGTCAGAACTGTTCCTCCCAACAGCTATTTCAGTGAGGTTATCAGCAACGGCTTGCGCTGCAGGAATCTCATTCTGTGTCACAGATCTACGCTGCCGTCTTAGAACACGGCGAGCCACCTCCCCGACCTCATTGTTCGACATGACATCCCAAAGTCCATCACTTGCCAAGATTAAACACTCATCTTCATCACTCCTTGTTGTGAAAGTTACCTCGGGAACGGGAATAATCCACGGTCTCAAGTACCGGTCACCTGGAAAATAAATCATTTAGCAGTAAATACTTCAGAACATATGCATGCCATATCAGTAATAGGGTGCTTGCATATGTATATCCAGATAGTTATTGGAATCCCTCGCAATATCTGACGCTGCGTGAAATGACCCAAGAAAAATTGAACAAAAAAGGAAAGTAAAAGGCAATTGTAATTGTAAGGTGGACACACCATTTTTGCATGTTCATGTTGCAAACTGTTCATATCCTGAATTTATCAGCTTGTAGGAATACAAGTGCAACAAAATATTTGACAATCAAATGACGCTCAGAATGAACCTGCAATATGACGCTGAACATAGAATCTCCATGGTAGTGTACATAGATGGAGAAGAATCAAAAGAAACCAAAATATTCAGAATAAAACATTCATTTATGTGTATGTGTTTATAATAGAGGCATTAGCCCATCCCAAAAGACAGAAAATTTTCAAAAGCAAAACACCAAATTCCCAGTTCAGTTTGGTTATTATACAAGTAAATACCTATATATCAATGGTGAGTTGACAGCAAGGTTAAGCGGAGACCGAAACAGAAACAACCTGAACAGACAACCGAGTTGGTGTGCTTCTCTTTATGTTAACAAAGTAAGAGTTGGGAAACCATTGCGGTACCTGGTGATTCAAATTGTTCAGTGATTCCTTTGATTCTTTGGTTCTAAGACGTACTGAGAACATTCAACTGACATTCCACATCAGGGTGGAAGAACTACCAACTTGAAAAACTTTTTTACATAAGTTGTCTCAGTTCAATGTGTTATAATATTTCTATTCCAGGTAACTGCTCTATTCTCTCCACCATTCATAAAGAATTCAAGATTTCAGCTTTGATTTTCATTTCATCTGACCACTTACGTTGGGGTGGTGTTCACAAGCATTATCAAATTGTGACATGGCTTTTAAAACATCTATTGACGATACTAGTATCTAAACACGTCTGCTTATCTAGAGGGAAACAAGGGGAACCTAATGTTGAAAGCCTAATGCATTTTCACATGGGAAAATCCACCGGCCATTTGTTTGGCACAAAGTCAAATTTCAAAAGATAAAAAGTGTTGTTCAATGTCCAAGTAGAGTGGGCTAAGAATATAGCCTCGCTATTTCATTTAATGCTTTCATAAAGTAGTTTTGAATGTGTGTGAAACTTCAACCCTGAAGGTCACCTATATATATGTGTATCAGTTTGTATTATGCATTCGAATACAAGGCCAAGACAACAAGTATCAAGCTTTGAGCAAAAAATTAAATTAGTAATTCTTTTTCTCTGTGAGAGTGAGTTTTACAGTAGTAACTCAACCACATCATATTGGTGCATTTTGTCTTTCATTTGACAAAATACCCAACACCTAAGCTACAGGAATTCTTTGATCAGCAGGTCGCTTAAAAACTATAATGCTAACCCTTTTCTTGAAAAGTTGCAACAGGGAAAAGGCAAGCCAACATTTGCGTGTAATGATATTAGAAAGATCATTATTGCTGGATGTACTGATAATAAACAATATTAGATTTGCACTTGACAATTGCCTATGAGGACAATCACAATGAAGAAGAGAATTAGAGAAAAGAATACCTATAGCTCTGGACATGGCAAGAACTCCAAATACCCTAGCACCATTCCAGTTTATGACCTTCCCTCCCTGTCCTTCAATCCTCACAAGTTCATCTTCTCTATCAGGCTGTAAAAGCAACAAGAAGAATATATCTTTAAACCTGGTGAATGAAGGGCATGTTACGGATACAGAACTGTGTCCAACGCAAAATATCAATAAATCTAGGCCGACTGACTTCTCTCCCCATTGACCCCCCTGGTGCTTCAGAGTTTACATATTTATATCTTAACATTCATGCACATCTAAATACCACAAGAAATAAAAGAAAAACACTTATGATTTCATCCAAACAACAGTGCAGTGTATCTTAGAAAAAGAGAATCAAGATCCAGTGGTATTGTGTACAACTCTACATCAGTCAATGAAAGTGAAAGTTAAGAAATCTAAAATGACCTTCTGATCAATGGTTAAGGGTATAGTTTCAGTCCCCCTGCAAAGCACTGCCCTTGAATCACCACAATTAGATGTAATGATCTGGCAACCAGATAGAATCACTACAACAGCAGTAGATCCAACCATTTCTGGTGCTGTTACCTCCGTCAAGAGCTCATTGTCAGCCCTCTCAAAACTACTACAGAATGCTGCCTCCCACCTCTGTTGCCATTCAAAACCATCTACTGTTTTTCGATCACACTCCTCTGCTACTACTTCATGCATCCGCTCAGCACAGAAGTTAGCCACCTAGTAGTGATCAGCAGAGTTAAAAAATTGTCAGTGTATCATATAATCCTGATATGCTGTCAATATTTCATTGCCCTCAGTAAAAACATAAAGAAAACACCGCAATGAGAAACTGCCAAGTGCATACATACGTTGAAAAAATAGGTACGACAAGATAACGTGAGTTAATAATAGATTTAAAGAGTAATGGTATAGCACAAACAGATTTTTCTAGAACAGCTAGTGCCATTGCATGATGGATTCCTTGTATTGATGTTCCATCAGGTCATATGCGAAAGTGAGTACACACACAAGCCCATGGTAATAAAAGAACAAATGGCATAACAATCCACTGGTATAGGCTTAGTTGAGTACCAATTTGTAATATCTTAACCCCACCTAAAAAAGTTCAATATATCTAAAACTCTTAATATTTTTTTCTTTCTCCTGCAACCTTCCCTCCTCAAGAACGAAACAGAAAAATAGTAGAAATGTATTCTAGCTGATGAGGAAGAAGGCTAAGGCTCTAACCCAAATATTCAGATCTCAAGCAGAAGAGGAGAGAATGAAAACAATGGAGGAAAACAAATTTAGATGGATATTTACCGAAGTGATTAACACAGGACATAAGTTATTGGTGACATGATGAATTGATGATTTGCATACAATGCTAGCAAATTGACAAAATAACAGCACAAAATAACGTTGGCACCGTGTCAACAAAATTGAAGAGCTTCCCGACTCAATTAACAGTATTCAAATCAACTTACATACATTTCGAATAATTTTTTTTTTTATCGGATAAAAAATAGGTTATTCTCGAGACTAGAATATTCGTGAGGAATAAATCTCATTTAGATTCACTATAATATATTAAAAATTTTGCACTAAAAACATATGAATAATCTAATTTATACGAATTAACAAATAAAAACAATGAAATTGGGGAGCCTCCCTCAAGTCATTGAACGTCATAATGGGTCTGGGAGGACACGTTAGTATACAGATGCCTAGTTTTGGTTGGTTTAACATCGTTTCACAATGGGCCCCGCCATCCATCAAACTTTAGGTGACACCATCACCAACCAAATATTTGTGCGACTTCTCATGACACGTGTCAAAATATGCACCACAAATTCCTCCGACATGACCGTCAGTCCAATACGTGTCATCCCTTTGTCAAAAGCAACTACTTATACACATATAAGTAATTTTGTGTTGATAAAATAATTTTATTGAAATTATATTATTACACCAATAAATTAGATTAAATTTGTTGGTTCCAATAATATTACTACACACGTATTTGTCTATTAAAATAAACAAAAATAATATTGGACAATAATACAAATATTTATGGGAAATTAATGTTCAGTATCTTCAAAAAAAAATGATTATAGCAATCTTTTTTATTTTTTTGAACAAGAGTTGTACCACACCACACTGGATTCAGATCAACTACCCTACAATTCCTAATTTTCACAGTATATTATTTGATTAATATTTACAGAAAAACTCCATGTTTATGAATTGAACCTCACTTGAAATTATGATAAATAATTTATCATGCAAATAATTAATAAAAGATAATTCAATTAGTCACTCTTAATTCTCTCTAAATGCCATCAATCAAAGCATCAGGCAGCCAACACTTGTCAAATGAAAAAACATTATATAATGCTATTTGAACTTAAAAATTTAATTTAATTTATTGACATAATGATATTGTTTCATAAAAATCATTACATTAACACTAAATTTTAATATTTGATAAGATCTATAATCAATTTAAAGATGACAATAAATTAAATTAACAAATTATATAAATATAGTCTCTCCTGATCTTCTCTCCACCACTTGTCTATGATTACTTTCTTCTTTGCAATATATTACTTATTATTCAAAATTAGAATAGTTAATTATTATAATAGTATTTTTAAGATGTATATAACATAATTTTTTTCGTAGCAAAAATATTGAAAAAATATATATATTTAAAAGATTCAAATCCTACATTTAGAGGTTGATTTTACATCCATTTATTTTCAATTGATTTTTATCAATTGCAAGGTAATGTGAATTGAAATTATTATACGATTCTGAAATTGTTGATTAGAATTAAACAAATGATTTTTGGTAAATTCACCTGAGAACCACCATGACCATCATAGACACCGAAGAAATGTACCGGCGAGACCTCAGTTGAACTCATGGAACCTGCTGCAGTACACCCTCCCACGTGATCGCACGTGCGAGACATGAACCCCGGCACCACCCTAACAGCATCCTCCATCTCTCTTCTCCTCCCAATCACCGAAGTGAACCCCCACAACACTCTATTACTCTTCCTCCCCACACACTTCAACCTCATCGGAGCCATCTCACCTGAAATTTCCAACGCCGGTGGTTTCAACAGTCTCGGCACCACCGTCTCCGCCACTATATCCGCCGGAATTTCACCAGAACTACTACTAGCCGTCGAGATACCTTCGAAAGAGCTGGTAGTGCTTGGAACATCATCACTTCCAAATATCGACGACACAGTCGAACCCATTTCAAGAACTGAGTCCAGTCGGTTCAAATCATCTTCCTCTGATGACTCCATATTCTCCATGTAAGTAAACTTTCACAATTGCTTTTGCTTTTCAACGAATCAGATCGATGAAAGATTAAACCGTCGAAATCGTGACAAGAAATTTGAACACTCACCGGAAAAAGTTTTGGAGCAGAGAGAGAGAGACGGGAGGGGCTTGAGAGAAAAAGAAGGGAAGGAGAATTGTGAGGAAGTGACACGTGGGGGAGTTATGTGAAGGTGTGAAAAAAAATTTGGCAATTGATTTTTTTTTTTTTGGTAGAAGCATTTGATTGTAGGTAGTCGTACTCGGTTACTTTTCGCTGCACCGCCACGTGTGCTTTTCCTATGTGACGGTGATTGGCCTCCTTTCCAACTAATGGGGGACCACTCAATTATTTTTGGATTCTCTCTCCCTTTTTTATTTTTTTTTATATATCTCAACTGTTACCTGTTCATGGATCGAATTAATACTAGACCAAATTCATAGACGGCGGCAGAAGGACTGTATTCCCTGTAACATCTAAATCTATTTTACCTTAATTTATCAGGTGATTGGATTACTATTAAACAATTTTAATGATAGTTCAATGATAAGTGGCAATAAAGATTAATTATAAATTCAGATATTTTAATTTGAATATTAACAATTTCTTAAGTTAGATTATAACTCTAGTCCCGATGAAAATAACTAATTTTTGTCCTAATCAAAGAAGAGATTAATCAAATTATACGTAAACTAACCTAAATATTTCTAACCATTGAACTTAAAAAAAAATATCACTAGACTAACCCCTCGGGGTTCTCTCCTTATTTTTGGATCTTCATAACTAAGTATTTTTTTTTATTTTAATTTATTAAGGTATGAATCAAATAAATTTCTAACTAAAGAGCAGACTATGCAACTGGTTATTTATGTTTGTGATTACAAAGTCATATAATTGAGAGAGTGATAACTGATAAGGGATATATAGCCGGGGAAAAAGAGTCTAAAAATAACACAGACTTGATCCAAATAACAACCCCACAAATGCATATCGTCTTGCAATTTATGCATTACGGTTTTTTTTTTGACGAAAAAATTTGCAATAATCACCATTGGACTGCATGAATCTATTTCGCTATTATATTTTAATATGCTGAAAAAAAAATTAGATCTATAAAAAAACAAGAGGAGGAGAACGAAGCGAACGAGAAAGAGAGAGACAGAGAGCAAGAACAAATTCAAGAAATTCGATCATTTGCATTAGTTATCATGTTTGATTAGGCATCTGACCACGGGATCATTAGACATTTGACCACGTTCGTTACTTTTCTTGAAAATAAACCTAATTAGACTGGCATAATAGTATATCACTGAACCCTATATGAACTTCAAGACTCAAATATTTAACCGCATAGTGAGAAATTCGATCGACATCCTAGTGTACTATATATATAAAGTACAATACAACTCAAATATCAAAAGAAAAATAAAATAACTTTTATTTTAAGTGATTGATATATTTTTAAATTTTATTTTAAAATTAATCTGACAGTTAATATTAATACTGCATAATTAATAGGGAAAATAGGACCTCAAGGGTGTGTTTGTGATGATTTTTTAAAAGTATTTGTAGGACTTATAACTTTTCATAAGTACTTTAAAAAAAATAGTGTTTGATACCGTCCTACCACCACTACCATTACCCCCACCACCCTACACCACTACTACCATCGCCATCATCCCATTAGCACTTCTGTCACAAAACCACCACCATCACTGCTGTCACAATTATTGCCGTCGTCCCCACCACTGTCACCACCCCATTACAACCACCACCACTACACCCACAGCCCCTGAGCCCCATCACCATTACCACCATCCCATTACCATTGCCCCATCACCATCGCCTCACCACCATCCCTACCCCCCACCATTGTCATCACTATCATAACCATCATCAACGCTGATATCCAACCATCGTCGTTATCACACCACCATTCTGCCACAATAAGCACCACTGTTGCTGTTGACACCACCGCTCTACCACCACCATCTCTGCTACCCCTCACCCCTCCATTATAACCATCACAACCACAACAATCGTTGTCGAGCACCCTATCACCACTATCATTGTCCCACCATTACCCCCATCACCATCATCCCCATTATCCTACCACCACCTCCATGACCATCATCGTCATTGGCACTACGCCACCACCACCTTATTACTATCGTTGCTACCGCCACCTTATCACTACCCCCTACCACCCTCACAACTCGCCACTACCCCACCCCTCATCCCACTGCCACCCCTACTCCCACTATCAATTGTTGCCGTCATTGTCCACCGTCACCACCCACTACCTTTGGCATTTTATTTTTATATTTATTACTACTACCACCATTATCCCATTACTGTCGTTGACCACCATCACCGCCACCCACTGCCATCCATTACCACAAGCCACCACCACTTATCGTTGTCCACCATTGTCGCCCCCACCCCCACCACACTTACCACCACCAACCATCACACTGTTGCCTAGAAGCACCTGTGGTTGTCCACCACTACAATTGTGAACCCACCATCATCTTCGTTCACCTTCACCCTCATCCACCACTACCACCACCATCGTCGTCGTTACTCTTGATTGTCAGTACTATCATCGTCACTAAAAATCTACCACCACCCATTGCCACTCACGAGTGCCACCATCACCACAATCATCGCCACCAACCACAACCATCGTCGTCTCCCACCACCATCATTACCACCATTCACATTCATTACAATCGGTGCTTAAATTCTTTTCTTTCTTTTTTATATTTGTGATTTGATTTGAGTGTGAATATAAATATATTTATTGTTGATAATTTTTTTGTTATTCTGTGCCTTCAGGCAAAATCAATAACTAATATATCTATAATATAAAAAAGGATAGATTCTAATAAGTCTATTCAACGGTCTCAAATAAACTTATTCATCAGCTACCAATATTTTTTTTAAAATCATTCATATTATACCGTACCTTCAAGCACAAGTTATCCTTAAATATATATTTATATAATAAAACACATAGCAACTTGAATTTTTATCTCCTACATATTTTTTCTTTTAAAAATATCACATCACTCATTTATATCATATGTTTAATCATTTAATATTTGATTAATTTTGTAGTTTAACATAATTTTTATTTTAAACATTACTCATAAACGATAGTATGCACATTAAAAAAAATTAATATAGTAGGATCGATATTTTGTGCGCTTAAATTTTATGTTTTATCGTATCTGAATGCACAAGTTCTAACTAATATATATATATATATAATAAAACAAAAGTGTGTTTGAATTTTATTCCAATCATATTTTTTCTCTAAAAATCATCACCAATCAGTTATTTCACCCATCATTTTTTTATCAAACTCAAACGTCAAATCACATCACTCATTTCTATCACATATTTAATCATTTATATATTTTCTCCCTAAAAATATCACATCACTCATTTCTATTCTATATTTAATTATTTAATATTTGATTAATTTGTAGATAATATATTTTGAAAAAATTTAATATAGTGAAATTAATTTTTTGGACACTCGAATTTTTTATTTTATCGTGCCTTTATACACGGGTTATGAATATATATATAATGAAAGTGTATAAGAAGAGCCACGTGGAATGATTTGTCCTTTCAGTTGATGACCAAAAGCAGCAGTTAACGGCTAATATCGTTTGCTTGTTCAGCCAATCACACGGAATTGGGCGGTGGCGATGTAGACTTTTGAATAGGACTATGGTGGTGGGTCCCGGAAGCGGTGATTGATCCAGAAGTGGACGGATATTATTGTCCTTGTGAAAAATACTCTTATAAACAAAAGTCAAATGGGTTCAACTATTATAAACAAAAAATATTATTTTCAATAAAATTATTTTTTTACGTTAACAATGTAACATGTGTAAAGTTATTTTATCATTTTTTAATTATTTGTTATAAATAAAATCAAGGGTTAATTATAAATTATAACCTGAAAAATTGTTTGAATCTTAATTTTTATCCCTAAAAATCAAAAATCTCAATTTGCATCTTCAAAAATAAAAATTTATATTAATGTATATTTCCAAAGATCAAAAATTTTAATTTACACCCTCAAAAATAAAAATTTGTATCAACGTGCACCCCAAAGATCAGAAATCTCAATTTACATCTTCAAAGATAGAAATTTGTATCAATGTGCACATAAAACTAATTGCCGTTAATTTGCTGCCTGAAACTAAATTGATAAATTATATCTAGATCTCCTCATACTTGTCTCTTAATTATTTGAACCCCTTCACAAAATAAAATGTCATATGAAATTATAATTTTTTATTAGAATAAAATCATATTTTTTAACGGTTATAAAATTCTAATAAAAATACTCTCAATCTAAAATGTCCCCCCAATTGAGCATTCAAATAATTATGTTTAAGTGATATATTGCATTGGATATAAAAAATATTGTATAAATAGTTACATTCTATTGAACATTTAAATGATAAATTTGATTTTAAACTTTAGAGTATATTGGACACATAAAATAAAGGGTAATATGAAATTATAATTTTTTATTAGGATAAAATCATAAATTTTTAACGGTATACATTGATATAAATTTCTATATTTGAGGGTATAAATTAAATTTTTTTATATTTTGGGGGTCCAAATTAAAATTCAAACAATTTTTTGGGGGTGCAATTTAAAAATAACCCTAAAATCAAATAAAGTCCTATAACAGCAAACTAATTTATCAAATAAAGATCTAGAACTGCACACTACTTTCAATATTATATTAAAATTTTTGTCAGAGGTACAACTTTTATGGACAAAATTTTTGTATCAAAAAATTATTTTTATTATTAAATTAAAAATTATTAAATATAAATTTTGACACGTATTTTTTTGTTGAATAAAAAAGTGCATATCCCTGATAAAAAATAAAAAATAAAAAAAATAATTCTATATTGAGAACTTTTATTTTGCATATGTGGATGTTATTTTCTTAGATCTCACTCATATTTAGGCATGTCAACCGTGTCGGTTGAGATGAGTTCGTATTGAATTTTAGTAGGATCATGTCAAAAGAGTATTTCATTCATGATCAATTCGTTTATTAATTTGTATTTAATGAATCGTGTTACGTATAAATGATATATAATTGGTATTTAAATGAGTCATTTCGTATATATTTTTTGAATAATTTTACTCATATCTAATTCGTTTATTAACTGTGTCGTGTGGGGTCCACTCTTTTATAAAACGGGTGGATTAAGGAGTACAAAAATCTTTTAATTTGATATCGTATTAATAAGTTATGTCATATTTTGACACCTCTACTCTGCTACTCTTGTGAACTTCGTACATTTTGTGGAACTGTAATTATATAAATTCTTTAATCAGTAGTTTGGATTTCAAGGCATTTATCAAATTCAGTTTATCGAACGAGTATTGTGTAGATTTCACTTATCGAAATATTTACATTACTTTAGAATTTTCAACATTTAATATGATTTAATAATTAGGGTTACATTTTAATACCGTATCTTGTTGTTTTCATCCACTTATGAAATGACATGTGCGATGTTTTTAATATTTTTGACAATTTTAATAACTAATTACTATAAATAATTTAAATTAAAATTCACGATGAAAGATCTATCGTAATTATATTACTAAAAAAAAATGGGTACTCAAGAAACATTCTTATAATTATGAAAATTTTGTTGTTGTATAAAGTCATCAACAGTAATGAAGGATTAGATGACTAACTGTAATTGTACTTAAGTGAAAACAAGAATGAGTGGTAAACTGAAACGTCATAAATTCGAATCTTAGCAACTACTTGAGGTCAGACCATAAATGATTCATCCCTTATAAATATTCTAGTAACGGTGTCATGAATTTGATTTTTTTTTTTAATGTTTGACTTATTTAGAAAAATTATCGTTTAAATAGGGTCATAACTCATAAATCAATCATTTTTCATCTTTTTATCAAACACAGACGAGGGTGCTGTTAGTGCAGCGACACCATTTTGGCCACAAATCGAACAACATCAATATAGACATTAAAACAACACAATTTTAGACTTAACAATAAATATTAAGAGCCAAAAAAAATCAACAACAACAATAGACATTAAAACGGCATAGTTTTAAATTCTATTGTTGTTGCTCGACACTCCGATTTAATGTCTAAAAGTATCTTCAATCATAGTTCAAATTTAGATTTAAATTTGAGTAAAAAGTTAAATTTGGTATAGAGTACTTCAATAGACAAACTCAAATATATACTCAAATCTTGTAAAAAATTATCTTATTTTCTCAAAACTCATTTTTTTGTACATTCAAATCATGATATTTGATAAAATAAATAAAACTTTCATTCTCCAAATATGGGTAATTCAAAAAAAAAAAAATGAATATGCATACAACATTATATGAAAATAAAGAAATCATCTCAGAATTTTAAGATTGTTCTAATCGCTTATCATTTTTTATAAATCCAGATAAAGAAAAATAAAAAAAAAATAACTGTTTTCACATAGCCCTGGTCTGAAGAATACAAAAACATACGCTTTTAACATAAATAGAAGATTAAAGAAATAAAATAACGAATTTTCTAAATTTGTGGGCAGTGAACACTTAAAATTGTCAAGAAAAATCAGTATCCTAAAATTGTATTACTGATAGTATTTAACTCGAAAAAATCAAAGAAATATTTGATGGGTAGGTTTAGGGTTTATATAACATAAAAGATGAGACTAAGATTTTGAAAAAGATAAGAAATCAAGAATATGAAAGATAAAAAAAAAAAAATTACCTACAAGCCTTCAAATGATTTGTGAAAGTTTCAGTGGGGTCAACGATGCAAGCAGCGTAATAGAGATAGACAAGAAGATATAGAGAACAAGTTTTTGAAAAAGTCTTTTAATTTTGGATAAGTTAAAAAAATTACCGTTAAAAATTTGATATATAATTTAAGTTTGCTTCAATTTACGTCGAGCATAAATTTTGTCTTGATTTGATATAAGTTTAAGTCCAAAGTTATAGAAGTTTTTTGAGTTATTTTAACTCAAATTTAAATTTAAATCTATATTTGAGTCCATGTTTTATGTGCTCTAATAGAAGAGAACTCGACAGATGAGGTGGGTTCAAGTATCAAAGCCCTAGTTTGGTCCAAATTCTTTTCAGGCCTTTTCAGTCACATGGGCCTTTCTTTCCTTGATTGGGGAAGGGATGACAAGCATAAAACCCGAGCCAACTGGCCCGTGAGGAAAAGAAACGACCCCTCACTGAGTAGGTAGTTCCTCGGCTTAAGGCCTGGTATTGTTGGGGCCTTTTGGGCTTTGGCCCAAGCCCTACCCCCCGGTCGGTGATATTGATTCGATTTCCTGGCCACATATTGTCAATCAAATCCCCTTTGCCTTCGATGTGTTCTGATCGCCTCTTGATTACCAACTCTTATGTTATGCACATTTTTCTCCTCTGTCAGGTTTTCGAGTAAATATTAGGTGTAACGGTTATACTATATTAGTAATGTTAATGTGGTGTAATTATTCAATATAAAAATTATAAAATAAAAAAAGGGATCCACTTTTTATCAAGGAAGTGGTTATGCATTATATGACTAGATGGTTATGAATATTTGTAGGGTTCACTTACTGATTTGTTTACTTATCAGTTGATGGTTAAATCACATGACACTACTGACGTGGTATAACAATTATTATGGATAGCACGTGCTTGAAGGTACAGTACAATGTGAATAATTTTAAAAGAGATATTGGTGAATACTTTGAATGAATTTATTTGAGACCGTTAAATAAACTTATCGAAGCGTGCCCTATTTTATATTATACATACCCAATATTTTTTTAAAGTTTTCGTGCATATTTCATGTAGCTGTCGTGTCGGCATGGTATTGACCAGTCTTTTTATCCTCGGCTTCTCTTCTCTCTCAATGATGAGATACATCGTGGCCTGTAAGTTGTAATCTTCCCTGCTTCCTTAACCTTTGCTTTGTCCCTCTATCACCGACTTCTCCCTTTCCTTAAAAACAAAAGAGAAATATTCACTTTGTTTAAGGTATGGGGTTGACAATAAGTCAGTGTTGTGTCACGTTCAAGTTACGTTGTTTTAGATTGTCATCAAATATTAATTAATTCTTATTTAAATTATTTTATTATTTTTTTTCACAAGAACACGATAGTTTATTTATTGTCTATGTTAAACTAATTTTTTTTTTAACTTGGTTTTGACATCATATATAAGTCAAGTGGATGTTTAGTTTATGAGGATCAATAATACTAATTAAATGAGTGTCATGTAAAAGTCGGTTTATTTATATTTGATAGTAGTTTAATTTGTGTATTATTCGTAGTAGTAAGTCATGCCGATTTTAGTCTTAATATGATTTTGAGATAATATATGAATTGATTGGACTTTTGAATTATGGGGGCTTTCGGGTGGAAAATGTTCATAGAGAGAGAGAGAGAAGTTATATAGGATGAAGTTATACATGTTGACTCCAACATGAAATATGCATGAAGGAGATTAAATTAATATTACGTCATCTTAGATAGCAACTAAAATGATCTGTTCACAACCACGATTTACAAATACATAATTTGGCTAAGACCCCCACTGCATCTAACAAGTTATGAATGAATCAATTGTAATTATGATAATTTGATAACTGTAGTCATAATAGAGATGAATTATTAATCTTGACGTATTAAGTTCGAATTTTGATAATTTTTTAGGATTAAACAGTGATAAATTTATCTCTCGTAATTTTCTAATCTCAGTATAAATGATATATCTTTGATCGAACCAGAGAGAGAATTAATTAAGGTGGTGCACGTAAAATGATTCGAACACTCTTGACCGTTGAACTAAAAAAATTATAATATTTTGAAAGAGCAATGTTACATGGACTTTATTTGGGGATCTAATTTAAAAACTTAATGATGTAGCTTCAATACAACTATTGGATTAGTTGAGAGCTCTATCATTAAATAGAGCCCACAACTAATGATGGAGGTCACAACCAATCTAATGATTGTATTGAATTAGATATTTAGATTAGGTTTCCAAATAGCATTTTTCATTTTGGAAAGTTGACATCAAGGACAACTCGTGACCAAAAAAAACAAACATGAAAGACAACTTATTTCATGGAATTCATAGTTAATTTAAGGACAATCAAAAATTATATAAATAAATTAAATATAAAAATAAAAAATTAGACATCTATTCTATCTCTCTCTCTCTCCAATTATACATCCTATTTGTACACTTCCCAACTTCTAAAATCATGCCATCTTAGCAGTGAAATCTCTCTCTCTCTAGAATCCAACTCCATGTCAAACTCTCTCACTGATCAATTGTTTGACCTCGAGCTGGCTTTGACCATGGTGGACGATTCAGCCGGTGTGATCCAAATCTCAGACTTATCGTCATCTCACAGGAATGACATGCCGACGATGACAGCATCTGGGTTTTGCAGGGAAGGCGATGAATCGTTTGACCTTGACCAGGCTTTGACCATGGTGGACGATTCAACCAGCGTGGTTGAGATCTCAGACTCGTCGGCGCCACACCGGAATGACATTCAGACGGTGATTGCCTCTGCTGTTTGTACAGTCTGCATGGAAAGCTTCCGATCAGGCGACGGTGGCAAACAAGTTCCATGTGGCCACTTATATCATGAAGTTTGTATCACCAAGTGGTTTTCTCTCCACAATTCTTGCCCTCTGTGCAGGTTCCAACTTCTCAGTCTCCGGTGACCGGAAAAATATCCGGTAGCTCAGTTCTAGGTCGGCTCTGTGTCACCAAGAGCTCAATAATTGGTTACCGTGACTTTAGCTGTGACAAGTGTCGACACTTTTATTGTTATCGCTTTATATCAATAAAATGTTACGAGGAAACTGCGGCCGACTGATACTCAAATTTATAATTTTTTTAAGATCAAAGTTATAATTTTTGAAAATATAAATTATAACTGTAAAACATATGATCAATCATAAAAAATATTATTTTTAAATTTCCAGGTATAATTACTTGTAGAGGGTAAAACCTTTTGAAAGTTCAGTTGATCCGTTCATGAAGTCACCGGAACCCATAGGAGGTGAGTCCTTTTCAGCCAAAAATTTCCATGGAAGACTGGAAGTACATAGTGAGCTGGGGTTGGGTTTTCTAGTGATATTATATGGAACACTCAACCCTTCTCCCAAAAGGAAAAAACAAACAAAAAAATCCGACCCATCCAATCAGACCCATCTAAAAGTTTATCTTTAATATCATGTAGTCTGTATGGCTCGGATGGATTCCACATTCAGACATAGTTTTTTTTGATACCACATTCATACATAGTGAAATTGAGTAAAAATATTGATGATACCCTGAACCAAAGTTCAGCTCTACCGATCACCGTCACCTCCTTGTCTTAACAACTTTTCATGAGGGAAGCATCTTTTAGACCATCAAACAATACCTAATCAACATGGCCACAATCTTGAAAGCTCGGATATGCGTGCCAGAGGAAGAGGAAAGCCCAACAAACCAGCCCTATCATGGGTTTAGAGATATCGCTTCAAAAAAATGGCATCTCATAATTTCTAGAAAGACACCTTAAACAATGTCAGAAATTCACTAAATTACAAAATATTCTCCACTAGTGGTGGAAATCTTAATTCATTACCCAATAACTTGTTCATAAATAAATAAATTGAGTATCTATATTAATTAATGTGAGTTCTAAATGAGTTGGGTAATAGAATGTATTTTAATTAAATGAGTTAATATGAATTATAAATGGGTACCCGTTAAATTGAGTATGTATCTTTCTATAAATAATACAAGTAATAAAATCAAATAAATATACTAATATATCAAAAAATACACACATACTAATACACCAAAAAAACACACACTAATACACCCGACCCAACCCATGACTCGACAGATGACCTACAACTCAACCCACGACCCAATCCACGACCCAAGTAATAAAATAAATGTGTTGGTGTTTTTTGTGTGTTAATATATGTGTGCATTTTTTTGATGTATTAGTGTGTTTATTTTTGGTGTAGTAGTATATGTTTATATTAACAGTTTTAATTATTTTACGGATTAATGTGCGTTACTGAACTCATTATGTCCCAACCCGTTTATTAAACCAGTAGAAAACGGATTTAGTTTGTTTTATACCAATTCATAACCAACCTAACCAGGCCATTTACCACCTCTAACAGTGAGTATGTCAATTAATATATACGATTACCAGTTCTTCATGCTGATAAATTGACGATATTAAATGCTAATTGAGGTTTGCTTTTGTATGCGATGAAATAACTGGGACCTCTTAAACCATCCAATTACCTAATCTCTAGTTAAAATATCCAATTAATCCCACGAACTGACCCACATTGAATTTTGTTGTTTTGGGTAGGTGGGTGGGTGTGTGGGTGGGGCCCCCATTAATCACACATCAAAAGAAATCTCCCATCCCACATGCACCGTCAAAATAAGGTTGACGGATACAATGAGCCAAGCCCAACGCCTAACTTATGTTATAAGTTCAAAGGTCTAATTTTAAGAAGTCTAGTTAGCCAGTTTACTAAGGTCAAGGAGCTACATCAACAAGGGAAATGCAAGGGTTATTTAAGAGCCTCTTCTATCATCTTGGAGTAAGGGTCATCAAGGGTCTCCTCTACCACCTTGAAGTAAGGGTCATCAGAAGTCTCCTCCTCGCCGCCTTGAAAAGAGTTAACCCTCACCTCATCTTTTGACCGAGTCTCATGGAGAGCACCTCAACTACCTCGTCCGTTGAGAAGAAGTCGCCAACTCCACCAAAATAGTTATTTAGTTGCTATTAAGTCGGCCCAATCTGTTAGGGGTGATTATAAATTGTAAGCCTCATCAACGCTTGGGGAGCAAGATCATCACACTCTATTGAGCACAAAACTCTCTTCTCTCTCTCTAAGCCCGGAGCTCTCTGCTCCCTACATCCTTGAGCTAATAAAGGATCTGACGACCACAACCATTAAAAAGTGGACGTAAGTCATGTTGACCAAACCACTATAAATCTCGTCTCCTTTATCTCTCTTTACTTTTAATTACTGCATTTATTTTCAATCACTTGACAGGTGGTGTGCAAAGTCATTTTTTGCATCATCAATTTGACGTCGTCTGTGGGAAGAACAAAATTCTCATTTCTAAACACTTAATTTGCTGAACTAATGACGATTATCACTAGATCTATGAATTAGCTTGAGAATAACCAATCACGAGAGGAGGAGGTTGCTCCTCCACCAACCAATCCTGCCCCAAGTGCGCAACAAATGCTGGAGACCATGCAACAACTTGTGACCTAGAACCAAGATCTTGTAACTGATGCTCGTTGGGCAAGGAGGAGCACATTTTGGACCCCAAGTCAGAAGAGCCCTACGCCCTAGGTATCAAGGAGCTCCCCACATGGGTGCTCTTCATTTGGGCGCCCCCATTGGAGCTCCCTTAGGCGTCTCACCCCAAGGAGCCCCCTTGGGAGCCCCACACAGGGGAGCTCCCCGTGAGGGACCTCCACCTCCTCCTCCAACTCCCCATTCTCATGGTAGAGATCCTCATTTCCAAGAGGATGAGAGTGAAAACCAAAATATGGAACATGAGAGTCATTTCCATGATAATTCTAGAGTAGCACCCCATCACTGGGACAAAAAATAAAAGAGGTGCAAAATCAACTGGGTAACGTCTTTCAACGCCATGAAGGCTCAAGGACCTGAGACGGTGGACTACCTTATTAGGCAAACTGACACGCCTTTCAAACTTGACGTGGCGAACTACCTTTTCCCTTAAAAGTTCAAAATGTCATCCGTGGAGACCTTTAACGGAACGAAGGATCTACTAGACCACCTCGAAACCTACAAAACTCTGATGCAGCTGCACAATGTCCCAAACGAGATTATGTATAGGGCGTTCCCAACCACCTTGAAGGGATCCATCCAAAAAAGGTTCGCTAAGCTCTCCCCAGCCTCCATAAGCTCCTTCGCCGAACTGAGCAGATCATTTGTGACATAGTTCATTGGTGGATGCCGCCAGCAGAAGCCTGCCACCCACCTGTTCAACATAAAACAAAATCAAGAGGAGAGTCTGAGGAGTTACCTCAATCGTTTTAACGAGGAAGTCCTCCAAATCGAGGAGCCCAATAACAAAGTCATTATGACCATTTTTTTGGGAGGCCTCCGCTCGTCCTCTTTTCAGTAATGAAGCGACCACTAAAAAGTATGCTAGAACTAGTGGCAAAAGCTTAAAAAAATATAAATGCTGAGGAAATCAACAGGTTCAGGCGAGATGAATCATCTCAAGGATCGCCAAAAGCTTGACCTACCTCTGCACTGCTCTCAAATAGGCAGCCTATATATCCAGCTTAGCTGCTCTCTCGTGAGTCGCCAAGAGCTTGGCCTCTGCATTGTTCTCAAACATGCATCCTATATATTCAACTTAACAGCTCTCTCGCAAGTCGCCAAAAAAAAAAAAAAAAAGCTTGGCCTCTGTACTATTCTCAAACAGGCAGCTTATCTCCAGCTTAGCGGCTCTCGTGCATATTGCCAAAAAAACTTGGCCTCTGCACTGTTCTCAAACAAGCAGCCTATACCTCAAGCTTAAAAACTCTCTCATGAGTCGCCAAAAGCTTGGTCTCAAAAGGTGTGGCTCTCTCACGAGCAATCCTCAGACTCTGTCATTGTTCTCATGAAAGCAACCTGCCTCTCTTTTCAGGTAATCATATTAAGATATTTTGATGTTGAAATAACATTATTTTTGTCATCTCTAGGCACACTTTTGAAACTCAGGTCATCTGCAACCCGAGGGACTACATTAAATTGAACGTCAATAATCGGGCCTCATCATTTTGTGTCCATCTGGCACCGTCGCCTTGTTGCTACAACACTCCCACGCTTAGCACCTAGTCCAAACAAGGCTTGCCTACGTTTCCAACATTAAGGATTTGACACCTGCTCCCTTACTGTATTTGTCCCCAAACAGCGCTCCTCCATCTCGATCAGCAAAGTTGCCAGCCTCCACTGCCAAGCATAACACGCCTCGCCATCTAGCACTGACGCCTAGGCACCTTTCCAGCAGGGCCCAACACCACAGGCGCCACTCCATTAACACCCAGCAGCTGGGTTGCCTGACCAGCACGCCTACGCACAGTAGTGGCGCCCAGGGCCTTGCGCACAGTAGTGGCACCCAGGGCCTTGCGCACAGCATGTACGCCCAGCTGCTTGCCCAGCGCAGCAGGCACCCCAGCTATCCCTTCCTACTCACTCGTAATATGGGCATTCAATGTTTGAATCGACACAACTACCCTGCTGCCCGTCCGGCCTGCTGGCCTCACCTTCACAGTGCTAGCCCCAGTCACGCGCCTTGAAGTCACCTCCTCTGCGTGCCCCAACGGTGGTCTCCTCCCTTAGCTCGCCTAACTTCTTGTGCAGCATAGCATGAGCACCCATCTCCTTGGTCAACTCGCCCAAGGCCTCCAAAGGTGCATCCACCTCCATGGTTAGCTCGCCAAAGGTAGCTTGAGGCTCTCCCAAGAAGCCCAAGGCAGCCCCAGGCTCACCAAGAAGCTGTTGTTCGCCAAAAATCGTGCACCCAGCGCACCTGCTCGCTATTTTGATCGTAAATTTTACTCCGCAACTCTAAATAGGGGCTTATTATATATCAAATCGAAACTCTCGATGAGTCCTACAAGACTCACAGCCTTTGTGATGGTGTACAAAGTCCAAAAAAGGCCCAGAAATAGAAAT